ATTGACAGGAGTACATCATCTGCATATGCCGCTATTTTATAAGTTTCATCCCTAATTCGCACTCCTTGGATCTCGTTGTGGTTACGCAGGACTTGGAGTAGTGGTTCAAGAGAGATGGCGAAGAGGATGGGGGAGAGTGGGCACCCTTGTCGCGTTCCATTCCTGATTTGGAAGGAAGGGGCTGTCGTCGATTGTAGGAGAAGAGTGGCCATGGGGGAAGAGTAGAGGGTCTTCAGTGCATCCAGGAAGGGTGAGGGGAAGCCGAATTTCTGTAAGGTGGCGAAAAGAAAGGGCCATAGCAATCTGTCAAATGCCTTTTCGGCGTCTAGGGATAATAGCAAGGTCGGTATGCGTCTGCGGTTGGTGTACCAGATAAGGTCAAAGGTGCGCCTAGTGTTATCACTGGCTTGTCTGTGTGGGATAAAGCCTACTTGATCTGGGTGGATAAGTCGAGGGAGGAGGGGGTTAAGTCTTTCCGCCATCACCTTCGTGAATAGTTTGACGTCTACATTCAGTAGGGATATTGGTCTGTAATGTCCGGGCTCGAGGTGGGTCTTGCCAGGTTTCGGCAGGAGGCAGATGTTTGCCTGCAGCATATCAGGGGGCAAGGGGTCTCCCTGTAGGAGTGAGTTGTAGAGTTTGCTTAGTTGCGGGATTAGGGTCAACGTGAAGGTTTTGTAATATAACCCCGAGAATCCGTCTGGGCCTGGGCATTTGTTTGGTTTTAGTGTTTTGAGTGCTTTTGCTATTTCTTCTATAGTAATTTCTTCGGACAGTCGGCTAGCCCCTTCGGGTGTTAGTGAGGGTAGGGTGATAGAGTCGAGGTATTCGTTGATTTTGGTGGTTAGTGGCGCGGGGTCCCGTCTGTGTTGGGGGCTATGATCATAGAGCTCCGAGAAGTATTCTTGGAATATCTTAGCTATTTGGTCTGGTGAGTCCTGCAGCTGTCCCTCTCTAGAGTGGATTTTGGTGATTCGTTTATGTGCGGTTCTGCGATAGAACTGAACTTTTAATCACTCAACCTTCTTTTAAAGCTTTCTCCCATACATGAGTTGCCACCCACACATCCCCTCCCCTTAGTATGACTCATAATCCTATTATGCAGGACACAGTTCCCCTGGTTTTCTGGATGTACCCCTAAAGATAGGGGTACCCCTTTAAATATTACATCCCCTGGTAGCCCTGATCTGGGTGAGGGACATATTCAAAAATCACTCAGATCGGACCAGGGGTTTTCTGGAAATTCCTGGAGGTAGTAAAAAGACAGACCGTGTTGGGGTAAATAGCCAAAATGGGTTCCATACATTTTGGCCCTTTGGTCAGTCACAGAAAAGGGGACTAAAATGCATGAACGGCTTGGGTTATGGAGACTGGGGAGGATTCGGATAAACCCCCTTGTTCGTGGGGTTCTTTCTACGAACAGGGAGCCGTTCGGTAGTTTCTACACGAATTGATGGCACTGTGGAGGTCTCAGCGGTGTTTGCCTAGCCAAGTGTCCGATTTGGGTTCCAGACACTCAACGGCAAAACACCGCTGTTCGGGATTTTAAGATGGCCGACGTCACGTGTTCGTCTCCCGAATGGCGGCCACCCAGAGGACAAAGCACACACTGCACTGATTGCCAATTACCCGTTTGCAACATTGTTGCAAACGGTAATTGGAGGCACACTTATTCCTGGGGTGATCTGATTGTTCGGTAGTTTCACTCCCATAATAACTGGAGTGATTTTACCGAACAATCAGACGAATGCTGCATAGAACTTATATACATATGGCAAAATGTAACCGAAAGCATACGAATACACATAATTTTGAGGACAGCCCAATGCCATCCGCTACAATCCCCACCTGGGATACTTGGTGAGTTCCTCACTGGAGATGTGAATCAGGATGCCAGGTAATAAAAACAAGGAATATGGCACAATACTATGGTATTGTTGCCAATACACCTTTATTAAACAAATAAAACTAATAAAAACATCCAGTCCATAACGCTCTTCTCCCAAAAAGGACTTTTTCAAGTGGTTATACTATAACAATTTGAAAAAGACCCTTCACATCTCCTGTGAGGAACTCACCAAGTATCCCAGGTGGGGATTATACCATCAACGCTTATATACTTAAGCGGGCTATCTGCTCAGTAGATTGTGAGTATATTTCTACCACTATTACTCCTGGTTTATCTTTTTATACAGTGAGCACTATTTTGGCTTTTTATTCTCTTTCATTTTATATACACCCAGCTACTACGACAATTGTGAACACTGCCTTACAGCGATATCCTAGTAGTAGAGCATCAAAACCACTATATGCACATTGCTGAGATCGTTTGAGCTGAGATCGTTTGAGCTCTACCACATGTCAGTAGAAACTTGGATTTCTCTTGAGATTTACGCACTTATTTTGGACTTATTGCACTAGTGGAGTTTTATCTTCTTTCCTTACATATATCCATGGGAGCTGATCATCTCGGTTACTATCATGTCTGAAGATATACCTATATTTACCCAGGCATTAAGAGACTTTTACTTCTATCCTAATCTTAGAGCAGCTATTATCTTATTGAGGTATCCGTATTTTTATTCATTTTATTAAGTGTTTCTTATTTTGCTGTTTGATATCTATTTCTCTATTGGCGCACCCTATATTTTTTTGTCTATTCGTACTATTGTTTAAGGGATTTGGAGAGAATTTCCCTTTTTAGGTGTGCTGCCCTCTATCATTTCTTATATAGCGCTGCCCCACCTTCTCTCTTTTCCAGTCCTATATAATCATGTTTCTCTACAATATATGTAATAATTGTAATTGGAAGTACTCTAACTGTACCAACATTAGAGATCCATGGCTCACATAGCTCAACAAAACACAAATTCTTCTTATTTTATGTTTTTCTCCACTGTTTTTAGACCAAAAATGTTATCACTGTATCAGATTGTTTAAATATAACCGTAAATTGCAGCAATGGACGGGGAAAAAACAGCAGCATTGCATCACTAGTAAATCACAATCTATTCAACCACTGTAAGTACCATTTAACCTTTTCTCCTATCGTTCTGTTTAATCTTTCTTCATTTGTGTGCCAATTCATTTTGTCGATTGTATCTTACTTCCCAAAATTGTTTGGCACCAAGGGAAGTGGTAATGACAAAAGAGTAATCTGTCTTGAAGGGGTTAATGATGCACACATACTTGTACGTTTCTTTCTGGAATTTTTTTATGGTGTTCTCATCAGGCAGGTATACAGCAGAGATTACAAAAAAAAAACTTTAAAAAAAAAGCAGGGTTCCAAAATAGGGACTTTCTTGCATGATTCCAAAATGTTTGAAAAACATTCGTACATTAACATACTTTTAGAGCAATTCAAGTTCTGAGTTTCTGGTTGAATAAGTAAAAGTTGGTAAAGATGTCATTATTTTTGTAATGGCCTCCTCTATAATTTACAAGGCCCCCTTTTTACACACATACACAACATTATAACTAGCCACATACAAATTTCTCATTTAGCACACACTAATAACATACATAGCATCCATCCATATACACATGCTTACAAACATACATAAATTATGAGAGCAGAATTAACCGTAAGGCCATAGGCAGTTGCCTAGGGGCCAGAGGTAAGACAAAGGCCCCAGAACCATGAATATACTTGGCCCCATTTACCATACCTATGGGAAGAATGAAGGGGGTACTTGGAAACAAGCCTAGGGCCTTGTGGGATCTTAAGCCTTCTTTGAAAGTTCTACTTGTACTCACCCTATATCTCCTTATGTTACACAGACATGGAGAAAGAGGGGTTTCCTGCTGTCCCTGGATTCTAGTGTTTAGGAAGGACATTGAGCATTAGACAGCTCAGTCTCTTCCCTTCCCCCCCAGAATAGGGCAAGTCCAGTCTGTCTCAGAGTTACTATGTTGCAGGTAGATTGTTAGTAACTGCAGCTTCCACACAACCACCACTGCTGACTCTTCCTGACTTACATATATTCCACAGTGAGAGATGTTTTATTGTGGCTCTCATGCCTGCAGGCCCCTCAAATATTGAGGCATATGGCGGGTCACTGACGTCCTGTTTAAATTGTCCAAAATGAGTCCCTGTCCATAAAACAACTACCAGAAAAATTATCAAAATTACCTCTTTTAAAACAGCAACTTCAAAATATCAACATGGTATTCATAAGATTGTGGCTTCACTACAGTGGCTACATGTGTTACAGTGTAGGGTATCATATGCTATAACTCCACATGTAGAAACGAGCCAAAGATAAGATGTAAAACACAAGAATAATAATGCTCCTATATAGTTATTTCTCAATTAATTTTAGATAATGTGAGCCTTTAAAGAAAGAACCATTCACAAATTAGAAGGGTTCTACACCCATAGGCAATTCAGAACCAGATTATCAGACCAATATTCTTTGCAAGAGAAATACATTACGATATTAAGATTTTTATTTTTTTGTCTGCCAGATAGTACATTTTACCTCTTTATACATCAAACAACCCCAAAAACAGCTTGCTTTGTGATAGGTAATACCAGGGTTATTCACAAAAAATATTGGTTATAGGGCAAAGTCTTTATATGTTTAGGCAGTGTACCACACTTTCACAGATTTAATCAAAGGAAAGGCAATTTCTCCAAGTGGCATGTGCCCCCTTTTTTCCCTATGCTGCAGACACCCATGGGCGATGCATTGCATCAGGAAGTCCAGAGTGGGAAGTGCAAGCCACTGATAACATACAGTGACCAGAAAGGAAGGTTGTAAGCCCACAACACATGCATGTCTGGACAACAAGAAATTTTGCAACTCATCTAACCAGGGCATCTCGTGCTCAGAATTCTGTTGAGGCACTCTTGCACTTGTAGACATAGCCAGCTTTGGACAAACAAGTATAATTGCCACAGAATGTTCCTTACACATTAAAATGTTTGCAAAAAGTATTAACAGATATATTAGTGCACTACCTTACATTAATGGTAAAATGTGTCTCTAAATTCCTAGTACGCCTTGATCCACCAAGATATCTACAATGCAATGAAACATATGATAGGCTATGGAACCTCAGCTGGGAATGTCCACAACCCCCTTATATCGCAGGAAATATGGAGTACCAAGTATTCTACAAGCCCAGCACAGATTCATGGGAGGTAAGAAATTAATTGTATTCCAACTGGAGTCATTGGAGTAATGACATACATTGTAAATATTCACAGTACAATATATTCTATTGTCTAGGTCACTGGTATTGAAAAACAAAACAGTTTGGGTCTCGTTCTCAGCCATACTATATATAGAATATTCCAATGAACTGTGCTGTCAGTATTAAAGAGATAATATAGTAACCAGAACCACTACAGCTTAATGTAGTGGTACTGCTGTCTATAGACTGTCCCAGCAGTATGTTTAATGTAAATTCTGCCTTTGATTCAATACATCTCTGTGAGGAGATGCTGACTGTTGCAGTGTGGTGTTTTGCCCAAAAGCCTTCCAACTCCTGTGGGGAAGCATTATATTGGTTGAGATCATTATTGATTATCTCATTCATGGAGGTGGAGATGCGGTAAACTCACCTTGTAATTCTACAGAGAGTGGCGCTGGTCACTTAAAAATGTATTCCAGCACTGTAGTGTTAGGAATACATGTTTTTATTCCTGAAGCTATAGGGCTTCTTTAAGTACATATTAAGAATGCAAGGAACACTTATTTTTTAATGCATTAAATCATTGTAGTTAAAAAAGCAATGTGTTTGTATTCATATTTTTTTAATTTTGTTTGAAAAAAACTAAATACAGGCACAACAAAAATGTTGCATACAATATGAATTGTCAATCCATGCAAAACATATATTGTTTAAAAAGGGAATTGAGATACCACATATGATATAAAACATAATAATAAGGCATAGTAAAAAAAAGAAAAAGAAAAACAGTTAAACCAAACTTGCACAAGCCATTTGATAAAGCAGCAGCGGGTAAGTACAATAATCAAAATATCTGGCAGAGGTGAGTAGTGAGTAATAAACTAGTACCAAAGGCAAGAATGCTCATTAGGCGTTCTTCCACATCCTCTTCAAATGGACTTGAATGGAGGAATCACTTCCATGGAGACCAGATGGATAGCAAATTTGAATAATGCCTCATGACTTGACATATTTTTTCCATAATTCCACCTTAGGAATCCATTCCTTGAGGGTTTGATTTACCCATGTGGTGGAATTAAACCTTTAACTGCATTAAGCAGGTGAGGAATTATCCCAGAGTAGCACCATCTGCCATTTTATCTGCTGCACTGGACACCTCCTTAGCTACATTATTCTAACAATACACTAGAGCACACACTAACATTTTGATAGATAGATACTTTTAATATACATATAACGTACATGTTAGTAGTTTATTAAAGGCAAATTGTAAATGAAGAACCTTGGTTTATAAATGAAAATGTGGGAGTTTGAGACTGTGTATCATGGAGTTTACTACAAAAGGCAGATGGACATAGGGTGATCAAGATATTCTCTCTTCCCTTCTAGATACATTGCTCTTTTACCTTTTTTTAAACTGATATCACATGCTAGTTAGAATGTAAGTAAGTAAGCCTTGTACCCTCACCTATTTGTTTGTTTACCATATTTATTATTTTTTACTAATATGAGGTTAGAATATAAATACTATTAAACTTATATTTTCTTTGCCAGGAAGCAAAAATGATACCTATTAGACAAAATGAACTGTCGGTAACGCTGAGGTCCCTGCATCCTAACACTCTATATGAAGCTCGAGTGCGGGTAAACCAAACCAGATATCCTAAGGGCCAGTGGAGCAAATACAGCGAACCTCATCGGTGGAAAACCCATCCCGAAGGTGCATTCTTCATTCAGCTAGTTCAGTGTAACTGTGTGAGATGAATAAATCTGTCTAAATGTATAGGCAAAGTAAATCGTTTTAATTGGTATATGGCAAGTAATAAAATGATGTGTTGAAGATAGGTGAGGTAAATACAGCAGTGCTTCAAAACATTTGGTCACATAACCACTTTTGATAGAGACAACCCTAAGGTTTAAAAAGATCTCATGCAAAAAGTTTTTTTTAAGATGGTACTCAGACTGCAATTAGTACTTAATTCCCTATGATGAAGTGGTCAACGTACTTCTTCCGCATTCTCTCTTTTATTTCATAAAAACTGTTGTTTTTAATGTTTAAAGGGTCAGTAGTGCCTAAAACTATGTGTTTGTTAAAAAAAAAAATCCCACTGATTAACATCACATGCAAAAAAAAAAAAAAAGGAATTACCTGTTCAGCTTTTAAAGTGTACCTTGCTGCAATTTAGTTGTGTCACTATATACAGGGTAACATTTCATGTATTCATGTAATAGTACTTGTCAGGTAGGAAACAAATGTATTAATGAAGACATATTTCATTATAAGTATGATTATATAGTTATATATTTAAAAAGAAAAATACATTGAGCTTTCTCACATTTTCAGTATGTCTCGGGGAGCTCAATGGAATACAGTTCTGTTACAAGGCTAACATTTAACAAACACAGAAAACATTAGCAGTTGTTACAGTGCTGGTTTTACTGGAGAAAGTTATTTTCGTAGAACACATGCTTGAGGAATATTTGATGATTTCTGCTAGGTTATTCTGTATGAGAAGGCTGCACAATCCTCTTCCTTGTTGGGACTGGAAGTGGACATTACTCTGTAGGAGTTTTGGAGAATGGGTTTTGCTAGTGCATGAGTTGACCAGACAAGTGGCTATAAACCAGGCAAGATAAGTAAAGGCTAGGTCTGGATTCGGCTATTAGCCATTCCAGATCTAGTTTTGCTATACGTTTTGATCTTCTCAGTCTTTGCTGCTATGCTATAATAGCGAAAAATATCCAAATATGGAGGCTGTTGGTGCCATGTGCAGCTTTTCTGTTCTTTAGCAGGGCCGGACTGGGAACTAAAAGCAGCCCTGGAAAAAAATTCTATACCAGCCCAATAATGCGTCGTGCCAGCATAGTGTTCTGATAAAGAGGGTGAAAAAATAACTTGAAATTGAAAACTCTTACTCCAACGAAAGAACGCATATATGGCTTCAAAATAAACAAAAGAGCACCTTTATTTTAAGTAGACGTACATTTGCATGTAATCAATGTTTCAGTACAACTACTTTGGCCTATTAAGGACATGTTAGTAATGGTACTGAAATGCTGAATGTCTGCAGTTGCACCACTAAAAAAAATGAAGTAATCTTGTTTATTTTGAAGTTCTATGGGTGCGCTCTTCACTTTGAATATGTTATTGTGCATGAGTATACAACTAGCAACAAGACTGGGCCAATACGTGCTCATTACATGCATATATATATGTGTGTGTGTGTATTACTGTCAGGATCACATCAATTTACGTCTATTACCTTTACCTCGTTTAGTGTATCTTGTCTCAAATTGTCTCCTTTTTTTTCTCTTACAGCGACCCTTGTGCATCTTTTACTTCATCCCAGTCCCTGTGTGTTTCTTTTTACCCTTCTCCAGCCTCTGCATTTCTCTTTCCCCCAGCCCCTTTTGTGTTGTTCTTAGCCCCAGCCACTTTGTCTCTTTTTCCCCTTCCAAATCTCATCTGTGTGTCTCTTTCTAACTCCAGACTCTGTGTGCCTTTTTTTCGTCTCCCAGCCACTCTCTGTCTCTTTTTCCCCAGCCCAGCGTTGCCTCCCACAAATCTTGTGTCACTTTGTTCCCCTTCCCTACTGTATGTCTCTTTGTCCCCCCAACAAACCTGCTGCGTGTCTCTTTCTCTCATCTCCTCCCTGTGTCTCTCTTCCCCCTCTCCTCCCTGTGTCTCTCTTCCCCATCTCCTCCCTGTGTCTCTCTCTTACCCCTCTGTCTCTTTGTACCCCCATCCCATGTGTCTCTCTTTGTACCCCCATCCCATGT